AAGAGCGGGGAAATCGGGGAAATCCCCCAAAACCAACAATATATATATTTTCTATCAGGACAACGTGTTTTGAAAATTATAATTCGTTTAACGCTGGCGTCACGATTTTCCTTCCTAAGAAGAATTGAAAAATTATCTGGAATATTTACGAGGAATATTTATTTATATATTTTTTTTTTGGCGCATGATCTGTGGGTTGGAAATGTTTTTTAACAATGCATGGAATAATCGTGAGGGTTAATATGTGTATTCTACACCTGAAGCTCAACCAGTGGTTTTGAGGTTTCGCTCCGGTGGATTTACCGATTTTACCGATTCGTTCCACTGACTCGGCGTTACAAACATGTTAACCCTATTCGTTACAGAATGTTAGTGAAACAATACAGTGCGGTACATGTTCACGGGTTTGATAGTAAATAACGGAATGGGAGAGAACAATAAATCTGATCGGAAGCCGCGATACCCGGTCATCTCGAATTTCCCGAACAAGCAACACTGGAATTTTTAGTTCAGGGAAAAGATGAAATCACTTGATTGATAAAACAAATGATCTGATAATCAGTGTTCCGAAAAAAAATCAATTGCATTGATAACATCAGTTGAGGGTTGCTTGGAGCAATTAATTATTTTTTATTAATTAATGGTACTATTTGGTGACTGAAAAAATGTTGAAAGTACAGGTGTTGTTAAATATCACTGATTGTTCGACACTCGAATGATTGATAACTCAAAATTCAAGATGATGTTGATCAAGCGTTGATGATAAAACTGATATATGTACGAGTGGAGAATTCATGTTGCCTCTTCTATATTTGAGATATCGTTTCGACGAGATTGGGAGATTTATTTATCACTGATCTCGAAGAGTGCATCATCCTGGAACGAAACCTTTCAAAACCATCATCCTCCGTTGAAGATAAGCAAACACTTGCCAGGAAAATGATGTATATGCTATTCCCCCTCGTCGATATAAATTGATGTTAAAGGTGTGGTGAAAAGAAATCTGTAATTGCCATTTCCGATTCGTGCTGGACTACCGCTTGTTTTTATCCCTTTTTATTTCGTGATGTAAAGTAATCGGTGAACGATCGAAAAACGGCTACCTTAAGCCTTTTTGTGAGATTCTTTTTCCTGATAGCCGGCAGACTCCTCATTAAATCCTCGATTGCTTATGCACACGCAAATATCGACGCACGCGACTCCAACATATTCTCCTCTTTTATTCTATTTTCACCTGGGTTTACCACTTTTTCAGATTACCATTCTCCCTTTTTTTCTCGTAGCTTTTACAGATATATTAAGAGGGAAGAATCAGTGGGATTCTGTCCAAGTTACTCCGAGCTACCAAGGGACAAGAGAATTTTTTTCTCATTGGATTTCAACAGATTCTTCAGAAACCCATTCAGAAATCATTTTCCAAATTGGGTAATAACCTCGCATGAACTGCATCACAATCGCATAACAATTGTCAACATCTGGAATTATTTCACATTTATTTATATATATTATTTCAAATTTGTAACAGAAATCCGTTAGGAAACTTTTTAACGCGACTGTAAAGTTCAGACCCATAAGACCCATTTTTTTCTCTCGGATTTTCTACGGAATTCCGGAAAATTCTTGGTGTCAAGTGCGAGGGCATGATTTTGGGACTATGTAAAAAGGATTACGTTCTAGTTATTTTGGAATTGATGTTATCCGTAACGAATGATATGATGTCCATGACGATGAGGATGACGATGTTGAGGATGACAAAAAAGGGTATCAAAGTTTCTCATTTAAATACTACCGCATTCCTCCTGGAGAAGACGTTTGGTACACACTATTGTTAACACATAGGGATGCAGGATTATCCCTAGGATTTGTGTCATGTGTCATTGAGATGGGACTGCTGGAGAAGAATGAATAGAATTATTCTGCCTTCTAACTTCTGGGACGAAAGGATTAAAATTATTGGGACACAGCATGTCGAGTTTTTTGGGGATTATCCTGACGAATTTCAATTATGGCTGGGCCCAAAATTGATTCAACTGAAAAATCGATGGCTAGAAATTACAACTTGGGACTCACTAGAATTCAATGGAGACGAAACAGTGGATTAAAAACTCATTTCCAGTTTGTCATTCAATTCTTTCACAAAAACCCAGTGAATCCATCACATTGGACTTATACCGAGCGTTTTATTTGGTATTATTATTATTATCATTATTAATTAATAATTGAGTAATCGAATAAAGATGAAAACGACATGAATCAATAAAAAGTGGTGGAAAGACAGAAATAGGAGAAGATATCCTTAATCAGGACCCAACATTATCTTTCATCCCACTCCCCATTTATTTCAATAATCTCATCCTCTAAAATAAGTGATCAACCGGACATTTTAATAGTCCCCACTAAATAACAACACTATCTCCCCCAAAATTACCAAAAATATCTTCAAGTGATAAGGCGATTCATTCCAATTACTCACTCAACAATTAAAACTAATGAATACCCATTGCCCAGAGGAGCCACATCCAGCCGATCCCACCCAGTGGATCGTCAACCATACGATTAGATAACGTCTGAAGGATCATTCCAGTTAACTTATTTTTGCCACTTACAGGAGAGAATCTCCTCGAGTGTCTTAAAAATTTATTTTAAAAATCCTCGGACCCTGCGGTTAGCCACTGGTACGGGTTCTGGCGAAAGGGTAAATTATACCATCCCACGGTAATAAATTAGTCTGAACATTCCACAGAATCTAGTCACCTTATAGTGAGAATAGTGAGAATAGTGAGAATAGTGAGAATAGTGAGAATAGTGAGAATAGTCTAGGGCTGGGCAGGACGAGCATTCTGAATATTCAACCCTTTAATGTTACAAGGGCGTGAAATTCTTGGTAACCGCAATATTGCGCAAACCATTTAATCTAAACAGTAGTTTACCACGAAGGGCATCATGCAGACCAATAATTCTAGGCAAAACAATAATTTTGCTTTTACGATTTCCAAATTGATTCTATTTCTCGTTTTTTGCGGTATTATTTCCACCGCAACTCCACAAATAACTGTTATTTCCTGGTTATTGTGACGAATCAGCGGATATTATCGTCACCATCGATTCATTCTTCGAAATAATCTCCAGCGAAATGTACAATTATTTTGTATACTTCAGTCACACCAATGTGATGGTAATTTTATTGTTGTTAAATACAGTATTTTCGTGGATATTATGGGGCTTTTGTGTTGCTTTTATTTTGAATATCTTTTTATGGACGTCCAACGTGGCTTCGAAATAACTTGGAAATTGTTATGAGATAAGGAACAGTGGCTTAAGACTCAGTAAGTTAAGCTCTTGTTTGTGAATACTATTATGTACCTTAATGCTATGTATTAGAGCAATCTGAGGATGGGTTTACATGGAGCTTGGAGTAACTTCCGGGAATTCAAGTCGTTTTTTTTTATTCTTTTTTGTATTTGTGAACTCGTATGGAAAAAATTATTCAAAATGTGTTTAATACAGATAAATTCAATATATTCTTGCAATACGGTTAAAATTTATGGATAATATCTATGAATTATACGTAAATAAAACATTTTTATACAACATTGATATATATATATATATATATTCGATCAATATATCCCTTTAAAAAAAATCCAAGTGTAACGAAAAGTGAAAAATTGAAAGATTATCAATTATAGCTGGAATATTAAAAATAAATTCTCCAATTATTATTCAATATTTTCCATTAATTAGATTAATTAATGAATTATTTTACATTAATGGAATAAATTATTGGACCAGTTATTTAGCTGGAATGATTGCTTAATTACAATTAATTACAGTAATATTAATGAATTATTATGCGATGAATCAATGAAACTGTAAATGATGAATTGATTATTTTTCGTTCTTAAACATTTATTCAATTTTTATTTTGGACAAATAAAGAGCGCTAAAAAAATTGGTAAAAAAAGAGAGGAGGTTACACCAGGGGCGCCAGAAAATTATTTCGTCTGGTTCTCACGTTCGTCAGGACACCCTGTAGATTATCTTACGTGGTGAGTTTTCGGCGCAGGAGAAGACGCAAGATGCATTCCAATGCAAATAATGCGCCCGCGGGTCGCGAAGGAACGTAATCGTTGCAATTTCATGCTTCTCAGAAAATATTCAACTCCGTCTCATTTCGCCAGGTATTTCCTTATTTCACTGGGCGATGGCCACTTTCATCACTATAATTTACCCTCCGGCATCATCTGCTCGTCCCAAAATAGCTGTATTTACTTTAAATCATAACGAATGATCCAATTAATTGATGTCAACTGATCAGCTGATCATGATCAGATCACCATGACTGGATACACTGGTTATTAATGCAAATATTTTTATTTAAACAATTTCCAAGTTTTTTCCAAATTTCACTAATTACGGAGAGAGTAATAATACATATTGAAATATTAAATACTTCTGTTGGATTTCGGGGTTTTCCCCCGAGTTCAAAATTCTCTAGAGTTATCTAGAGTTTTTATATTTCTGGATTTAGGAAATATTTATTTCTTTGTTGCTGTCCAAGTGTTCATTTATTTCGATCCCAATAAACCAATAACTTCTATAAAGTAAATAGATTTTCAGCGAAAATATATACACGGAGAGAAAAATACCGGAAAAATTACGGAACTTTCGCGTATTTGTGGGGTGACCTTGCTTTTCGGGAAAAAGTACTGGAGGTACCGTAAAATTGTCCTGAAAGTTTCGTAAAAATTCCTGCTCGCTACGAAAATTTTTACGGAACTTACAGTATTT